GAGAAGGGAGTGGTAACAGACTCCCAACATCCTTGCCGGAGAACCCCATGGACACGGGAGCCTGGCAGGCTACAGTCCACGGGGTCACACAGTCACAGTGACTGAACGACAACACTCCTCCTCCTCCTGGTGGGAATTAGTATAACCTCAACACATGCTGTGCCACCCACCACCTCTGAGGGTCCCGTTTTCCTCTGACAACTTAACTGCTACCCGAAATGACTCTGAAAATATTTAAACTCAAGAAATACTATCAATCCAATCCCCCGCATCGCCTTCAAGACAGTCTCTTAAATTTTCTACATGTTACAATTTCTGCTGCTGGCCAGAAATATTATGTAAAAGGATTATTTCATGCATCCGAAGAAAATCTTGATGCCAACAACCATATTTACATGATCCCAAGTATTCAGACCGGAAAATGCTAATCTGGCACCACCCCCATTCCCAGGAAATTCAATGCACAAACCAGAGTTCATTTTACAACTATCCTTCCCCTGCCCTTTGCTTTGACCGGTCATTCAGACATAACCAAAGAAAAGCATCTGCACTGGAGTAAGGTAACACTGTACCTACTCTTGACTGCCTCGCTGCCCCAGACCCGGACAGGGAACATCATGGTGCACTAGCTCACGGACTCGACTGGATAAACAGTCATTAAGGTGGACTCTAACTTGTAACTCTAATAGTACACAGTTAAAATATCCCACAAGCAACTGTTGAGTAATCATAGTCTGCAGGCTCTCAAGGCCTTCACCTTTCTACCAGGCTGTGTAAAGAAAGTGACCAAGACTGACTGGAACGCTGATCTTGGAATAGTGAATGTAATCAAAGGAGGGCATACATTTCTAGAGTGGAAGTTAAAAAAAAGAAAGATGGGGATCTTTGGAGATACAGTGTATATGGATGGGAAGTCTGATAGCAGGAAGAAAAGTATACTGAGAATTCAAAGTGGTAGTCTTCCAGCTTGAGGGAAGTAAAGAACAGGGGGTGTGTACGTGCCTAAAAAATCATCCAGACGAGTGGCAGTCCCTTGAGGAAACCCTTGGGGGCACTCCCTCGCACTGGAATATATCGTTATACTAAAAGTCAAAGACCAAAGTGTGAAGGCTGGAGGAAGTGAAAAGTAAAACCCAGGCATACCTAATGAGAATTCAATACCAGTGGGAACAAGAGACACCCAGAGGCCAAAAGACAAGTCAGTTTCAGAGCTAAGCTCACCGTTTCCAGTGACCAGGCCTTAAGCCCTTCTCCACACTTCACCCCTTCTAGGTATGACACGAGGCACATGTTCATGAAAGCATTTCAAGTCAGAAAGACCCAAGGTATCACTTTAAGGTCTTTCATTGCTCATATGTAGAGAGTAAGGTCCTGGAAAAGCGGGGGATTTCCCTAAGGTCACAGAATTGATTAGCAACAGCCAGCAAACTAACCAAGATTTCTCAGTTCTCACCACAGATGAGAGGCCACAAAATTATTAAGCGTAGATTCCTGGACACTCTCTCTCTCTCCTGATTATGGCAAACCAAATCTTAACCAGTGAATCTCTATGCTTTTTGTGTAACAAAAAAATGTTAAGTATATTTACCAAATGCTTACTGATGGCACTCTGCAGGACGTCAAAGCTCTGGCTTCGGACGGGGACGACCAGGAAACTGTGACAGACCGTCTGCCGGAAGGGAGAGAGCCAGCACCACATCAGAACACCGTAGGTCAGAGACAGGTCCAGTCGTTTTGTTTTAAACCTACTTGCTCTACATATTAGAAAGAAACTCAATAAAAAGTGACTCTAAAGATGGAAACATCAATCAATCAATCCTCATATATATGGGCTGATTTTCTAAATAATTCATTTATTAAATACTTACTGAGCACTGTGGAGAAGGAAATGGCAACTCACTCTGGTACTGTTGCCTGGAGAATTCCATGGACAGAAGAGTCTGACAAGCTACTGAATATGGGGTCACAGAGAGTCGGACACGGCAGAGTGACTGCCACACACACTGAGCTAGTCTTACCAGGCTCTACGCATAGGAGTGAAAGAATGGGAAACTTCTGTCTCAGCCCTCGGGCAGCTGACCATCTACCCAGGTGGAGCCTGTGTCCCAACAACAGGTCAGTGAGGCAAACAAAGAGCTGACACAAGCCTTCTCCCATTTGGTGGAAAAACACATCACTGAAAAAAACATGATCCAGAAAACAGAAATACCATGTGCAAATTATGCTGCCTCGTATTCCCTAAAGGTAAAAGAACAGTCTATAAGGAAGAAAAATAAGAATGAGATGGGAATCAAAATCTCTAGTATTTTTAATTTTCTAAGATCTCAAGAAAACAAGCAGCAGAATGACAGCATCAAGTCCTTCAGAGAATCCCAACACGACTCCAGAAGCTGCTGGGAGTGCAGCACCAAAAATGAAGTATGGTGAAAACTCCCATGGGGAGACAAAGATAAGGCTAGTGGAAAGAAGAATATGACTCTAGGAAGAGAAAGAATAGTCAAGATAAATTTATGAGTACTGTCAATCCTCAAAAATCAGCAGTATCTGCATTATGTCTCTATAAAAACCTTTTGCAGAGTGATACTACCCAGAGTTTTCACAGGGCAATTGTCTTCTCTTTTAAACCTGTAGGTAACAATGTAAACAGGATATTTTCAATGCCATCTTCCTACTTCAAAATGAGCACAGTGAATATTATCATTCATAAAAGGTAAATATATTTGAAAGGCCCATTCAATGATAAATGATCACTCAATCCCCTCCTTTTTCCCTTCTGCCTCCCCTCCCCTCCTGAAAGAGTCAGTACTAAAGCTAATGCGTAAGGAAAAGCTAGACCTCAGCACTGGAGTCGATGGGAGAGCTTCAGTGGCCCAGAGTCAGTTATCTGTTAACAAGTACAGGTGCTCTGTCCCCAGGAATTGGAGTTCAAATGGGTAAAAAAGATGCCCACAGGGAAAAGGGTGGCACCAAAAGGAGATGACCACAGACAGAGGAAGTGACCACGTAGGTAAATATATTAAGTAAATGGAAGTCGGGTTTCTCACCATCAGAAAAAGCAGGTACAAGAGGGAAAGGAGAAAACCAGAAATGAACCCCATGGTGTTGAATTCCTGATTTCTGTTCACTGATAAGATCTGCGAACAGCAACATCAAATAGCAATGAACACACTTATAAGAGTCCAGAAATGTTTCCTAAAATCCGTTCTCCACCTAAAGGAAAACTGGGCTTCTTAAAGAAATACCTGATTGCTGGGCTGGGACAGGGAAAATACAACATGAATCTGAAACAATTTGTGATACAGTAAAGGTAGTACAGCTAACCCTTGAACAACATGGGGAGGGGATTGGAGGCACAGACCCTCCGTCTGTACGTAACTTCACAGTGGGCCCTCCACCTCTAAGGCTGTTCTATCTGCAGATTCAGCCACGGGTCCATGTAGCAATGTAGTACTGAGACACAACTGCATGTAAGTGGGCCTGCAGAGTTCAAACCTGTGCTGCTCAAGGTCAACAGTACTCAGAGAAATATGAGGACACGTCAGAAGAACAAAGACGTTTGCTTCTAGGTGACCATGGCAAACATGAATATCAAAATTAATAAAGATGGTAAGGAATTTTATCCCACTGGAAAATATAAGAAACCATACTAATAAAAATAAATGAACAAAAGAGAAGACCAAAAAGAAATGATATTTACACTGTTTCAAAACTCAAAATATTACTAAAGGGGAAAAAATAGGAGTGGAGAAAATGATCAGATACCACTTACTCAAGTGGGCAAAGCGAACATTTAATGGGACAAATCCAAACCCTGCACCATCTGACAAGTTGCAATCAGAGACCCACAGCATCACTTGTGTCATATTCCTGCCACATCTGTATAACCTAATTTAACCATGTGGAAATAAACCAGAACTGAGAGAAATTTTACAAAGTAACTTCCTGCAAAAAAGATGCTTACTCCTTGGAAGAAAAGTTATAACCAACCTAGACAGCATGTTAAAAAGCAGAGACATTACTTTGCCAACAAAGGTCCATATAGTCAAGGCTATGGTTTTGCCAGTGGTCATGTATGGATGTGAGAGTTGGTCTATAAAGAAAGCTGAGCACCGAAGAATTGATGCTTTTGAACTGTGGTGTTGGAGAAGACTCTTGAGAGTCCCTTGGACAGAGAGGAGATCCAACCAGTCCATCCTAAAGGAAATCAGTCCTG